AGGGGTTCCTAAGACCATCAGAAATAAATGTGTTCCAATGGTCTTTGGCAACCCCTCTGAAACTCCCTCGCGACCCCCCCCCCCGGGGCTCCTGACCGTCAGGTTGAGAAACGCTGCTCTAGTTGGTCATTCTGTGAACAAATTTTGGACTAAATAGGCCTCTGGTTTGATCCAATATGCCACTTATATTCTTTGGAATAGAAATTAGTGGTGAAGAGAGAGACTTTTTTTTGTTTTGCACAAGTTAGCAGTCATGAGAAAAATGAGTTTGTTTTTGGAAATGGGTTTGTATTTGCTGAACTGTTTTCATGGAACACGTTGCTCCCTATTCCCTTGATACTGCCTGCAGTTAAGGCTTTCCCATTATTTGAACAGAACAGGTTTACCACAATTTGCTTTACTTTGGTTTACCTGTAATAGTAATTGCAAAGTGGCTTCTCAGCTTGGAGGAGAAAGAAAGCTAGATTAAATTGAGGTTGAATTACACTTTATACAAGGTGGAATAATTTTATGTTAAGATCCGCATGTATTCACGAGGGTAATAATGAAATTTCTTTAATGAGCTTATTTCTAGTCTTGCAAGTGGAAATGATACCCATTTATCTAATTAGCTTTTCCGATTCTCGGGACAGGAAAAGGTAAAGGATGCTCACATTTTACAGCCCTGCTGCTAGGCAGGAGGCTCTTAAGTGGCTGTAAAGTTTTGCTTTTCAGTATGTGAGTGTAAGTGCTGTATCTTAAAATCTACATGGCCACACAAGAAATGTTACTTTTGGGGGCAATAACTATAGAATTCTTCCAGCTGACATAGATATACTTTAATCCAAAATGTCCTCCCACATAATGTCTGGCTAGAGCTAAACCTAGCAAGACAGAACGGAGAAGCCTGAACTTCTCCAGATGTTGTTACACTCCAAACCCCATCAGCCCCTGTAACCTGGCCAGCTGTTTGGCAAGAATGAAAGCTAATCCAATCCCCTTCCTCCCCTCTTTCCCCACACCCTCTGGGAACAGAACTTTCCTTCATTCAAATATTATTTTAGTTGATCATTCAAGGTGAAAGTATGGTTCAATTCTTTGTATTATCCTTTTCCTTTTACTCTATCAGTCTTTCCCATTTCAGAAGCTCTTTGTTGGTCATAGACGAAGCTTAACAATATTGCATTTCAGTGGCGTCTAATGCTCACCTTTTTTGGCTAAATTACATTGCCAACATTGAGGTGCATATTAGATTCAGCAGCGCATTAGAATTGTGCACATAAAACCACCTGCATGAAAATGCCTGGTGGGGCCTGGAACCCCATAGGCCAGGTGGGGAGACGGAGGGAGAGGCTGTTCCCATCAGTGGCAGCTGCCTCAGGTCTCCATGGTGCCCAGAGAAGAGGGGGGAGAAGTGCCTAGCTGGTGACACAGTCATTCCTGCATCATAGTCGCGGATCCTGCCTCAAGGGTATATCCCTTAGTGTTTCCCCCCAGCCCCAAGTCTCAGTTCTGCACAGTTCCCAGCTGGCCTTATTTATGAGGGCTTCAAAACCTCCCCCAAAGTTTTGAAGTTGGAAACCACATGAGGTTGGTGAACTCGCTTTCCAAATGGCCTCATTCATGCTTCCCTCCCTCCCTGGTGTGCTATGTCTGTGCTGTTGGGCACATTACATTTGAGGGCAAATCAATTTTTTGTAATGTGCACCTTCAAAATTGAGGTGTGCATTATTTATTTATTTACTTATTTATTTATTGTATTTATACCCCACTCTTCTCACCCTGAAGGGCAATAATTCAATGCCACACCAAACAGACATATAATAAAATAAACATATACCTTAAAATAATAAAATTAAAAAACATACAAACATTAAAAACCATTATTAAAAACCATACAATCCAAAATCATAGTCTAGGAGCCATTCCAATCGTGATTGCATATATTAAATCTTCACTTATTGCACTGCATTACTGTCTAAAAGCCTTGGTTCCACATCCATGTTTTTAATTTCTTTCTGAAAGTCAGAAGCGAGGGAGCTAATCTGACTTCTCTGGGGAGAGAGTTCCGTAGCCGAGGGGCCACCATTGAGAAGGCCCGGTCCCTCGTCCCCACCAACCGCACCTGTCCAAAGGCTTGGTCCCACATCCATGTTTTTAATTTCTTTCAGAAGATCTGGAGGGAGGGAGCTCATATGATTTCACTGGGAGTTCCGTAGCTGAGGGGCCACCATTAAGAAAGACCTGTCCCTCGTCCTCACCAACCGCACCTGTGAAGTAGGTGGGACCGAGAGCAGGGCCTCCCCAGAAGATATCACATTCGATGGCACATTATACTCAAGTAAATATGGGTATATTTTGATAGCAGAAACTCCATTTTATGAGTCTAGCATTATTTTATCCTTGTAAGCCAGTGATGTTTAGTGTTTGAACGGTGGATTACAACTCTGCAGACCGGGTTCAAATCCCTGCTCAGTCAAGGAAGCCACATTTCTCAAACTTAGAGGTAAACTCCCCATCTGAACCAACCTTGCCAAGAAAACCCCGCAATAGGTTTGCCTTAAGATTGCCATAAGTTGGAAACAACTTGAAGGCACTCAGTAACAACACTTGTATTCTTATTTCTCATTCTCATTCTCTGCAAATCTTGCCTCTGTGTTTCAGTATTGAATGCGGAATTCGTAATATGTTCATAATATGTGCACATTGCTCACCAAATGTTGGAGATTCATTTGCGAGAGGGCAGTGGGTCAGGCTGTTCTCTCTGGCTGAACATCTAGCACTGGCAGTCACACAGTTTGTTCCCCTGCCCTCCTGCACACGCATACTCCGCCTACCTTAAATTGATTTTTATGATAATTACTTTGTTTCCTTACAGAGGCCAGAAATGTAAAAACCCAAATGGTGATTTCATTTAAATGGAGATTAAGATCTCAAGGCGATCGTTTGATAGAGCATGGCTTTAATACTTTTCATTACTCAGGCTAGGCTTGTTTGACACATTTGAAAATACAGATGGAAAATGTCATTTTAGTGATCACTAGACAATGATTTCTGAATTATATATATTTTTAAAAGTAATAGGAACAAGACTGCGTGTATATTTTTTCAAAAGGCAGACAGATGGTGGATTAAAATTTGGTCGGCTAGAACCTAAAAAGACTGAATGCTTACTTGAATAGAAAATAAAATCTCCCTTGAACCATATAAATGCAGAAGCTAATAAAACATGAAAAGTTTAGGTCAAAGGCTGTCTTTTGAATAATAAGAAATATGCCAATTTACAGCATGAAATATAAACAGGTTATCATTCCAGTACATTTTGTGAAAAGCCAAAGATGTATATACTAAAAAAGAAAAAAAAGAAAAAAAGAGAAAAATTAAAATGTAATCCATAATAGTAACTTAGACATTCAGAATGCAAAAAGAGATCTCTCAGTGTATAATTTGCAAATGAATGAAGCTGCTACATTTCCCAATTCAACCTTGACTCCAGTTTGCATTTGCTGCAGATGCAAAAACTCACTTTGCATGTCATGCTGAACCTGATGTGGTGAACCCTATGGGTTCTTTATGCAGGATGGATATTCTTTATCCAAAATGTTTTGGGACAAGGTAATAAAGATAAAGGTTTTCCCCTGACATTAAGTCCAGTCGTGTCTGACTCTGGGGGTTGGTGCTCATCTCCATTTCTAAGCTGAAGAGCCGGTGTTGTCCATAGACACCTCCAAGGTCATGTGGCCGGCATGACTGCATGGAGCACTGTTACCTTCCTGCCGAAGTGGTACTTATTGATCCACTCACATTTGCATGTTTTCAGACTGCTAGGTTGGCAGAAGCTGAGGCTAACAGCTGGAGCTCACCTGCTCCTTGGATTTGAACCGGTGACCTTTCAGTCAGCAAGTTCAGCACCTCAGCGGTTAATCACTGTGACACCTCACTTTCTGTCCCTGTGATAAATGGATTTTGAAAAATCCGGCTAGTTATGCAGACAAGGATTGGTGATACACCTTCAGTTGAGACTCTTTTTCCCATGATAACTCTTTCAGGAGTGGATTTCCCTTTGTAGGGGCACATTTCTCTCACTTTCTGTTGTCTCATCTCCGTTCTTAACAATGAGTCATTTATAAGTCAGATGTTTGTAACTCAGGGACTGCCTGTATATATCATGCGATATGGAGATAGTACCCAAGTCTAAAACACAAAATTAACTTATGTTTCATATATACCTTGTACCAGTGGTTTTCAATGGTTTCTTCACCACAATTGTGATGTCTGGTGTATTGTGTTCCAAAACTTTGTTAGTTTGGATTCAAAAGTCCCACGGTATTTTTGCATGTTCATTTTCCACTATTATCCATTAATGTATTAATTGAGGACAGGTTTTGGGCATAGTGGTTCCCAAGAGCACACAAAAATGTTAGAACTGTCTTTAGAAATGCAGAATGTGGTTATCAATCAGTTTTTGTCCTTACTTATTATTTTCCTATGTGTGAAATGAACCTGCACTTTCAGAATAACAAGTAGATGCTTTTCAACAGCTTTGACCTGGTTCTTCCTTCTGAGGTTTCTCGAAGAGAGTTGTCTGCGCAAGGTCATCCACAGTCCCCTTGCTCTTTTCCAGGTGGAATGGTATTTTTGTAAAAAGAGTTAAAACTCAAATGGCTTTTCAGCTGCTGCTTTTAGATGAGAGTGAACCAAACCTCATTATTTCTGTCCAGTTTCTGGAAAGTCTGCTATTACCAGCACTGCCTCAGGCATTGTGTGAAAACTTTTCAAGTTTTGGGGTTTGGTCTCCTTTTTGTTCTTCTTTCTTATTGGTCTTTATTGTTTTAATGGATTCAAGCTGTGAAATGCCCTCTCTCCTCCTGTAGGCATTGTTCTTGGGCTGTTCTCTTGACTTTTCCCTTTTGTGGAAAGGAAACATTAGTCTAATTGTGGATCTATCTTGGTTGAATTCAAAGTGCTGTCTCCAGGGAAAGCTAATATCTCTTTTCCCCCTTCCCTTTTCTCATTTACAGATTCATCATCCAACTACATCAGACAACTTGAAACAAAAGTGAAGCTGCTAGAGGACGATAATAAACTTCTTTCTCAGGTAGGTGACTTTATAGTGTGTCTTAAGATACTTTTCTTCAAATAGTTCAGAAGTGACTTGGGAAATTGCAAATGGTGTGAGAGAATTGGCTGTCTGCAGAGACATTGCCCAGGGGATGCCTGTTGGGAAGCTTCTCTCATGTCCCCACATGGGAAGCTGGAACTGACAGACAGGAGCTCACCCGATCTCGTGGATATGAACTGCCAACCTTTAGGTCAGCAGTTCAGCCAGCACAAGAGTTTAACTCATTGCTCCACCACAGCTACTTTAAGATATGTATTGAATAGGTAATAATATTGGATAGGTAATAATAATACTTTTACTTATTTAAGATACTTATTGAAATGGTAAAAGTAGCTTTGCGGAAAATTGTACCATTCATATCTGAAGTGATTTACATGTTAGCAAATCTGGTTTCTTGCTTTGCCAAGCATAAAGAGTTTACATTCACAAAAGGAACGCATGCTCTCTGTTGGTTTTTGCATATTCTGAAGTCCTTTCTGACGTACGGTGACTCCAAGGTGACTCCACCACACTTTGGGAGAGGGGGGGATTTGTTTGGAGTAGGTTTGCCATTGCTTTTCTTGGCGGTTGAGATAATGTGGCTTGCCCAAGATCATGCTGCCATAAGCCAGAGTATCTTCAGTCTGATCATGCTGCCATAAGCCAGATCATGCTGCCATAAGCCAGAGTATCTTCAGAGTAGCTTCAGTCCATAAGAGCCAGGGTATCTTCAGTGATGGAGTAGAATCATGAAAGACCAAGATTGCAGTTCTCAATCTGAAAACCCCAGGATACACTCACTATAAGATGCAGCTGACTTAAAGATGTATAATCAGCACCACCTCTCATGGCATCAAAAGTCAGCCCAGTTGTCAAAATTAGAGAAAAGGAGATTCAAGTATCAACTAGAAATGCAGGAGAGAAAAGGGTGCTAGTTAGGAAAACTTTCAAAGAGTCTTCGGGTACCTTAAAAAGTAGAATCATAGAGTTGTAAGATATCCCAAAGGCCATCCAGTCCAACCTCATTCTGCCATGCAAGAATACACCATCAAAGCACTTGCGACAAATGTCAACTCATCTGGGGCATTAAATGTCAGTGTCAGTTTTTCTTTTTAAAATTGTTGTTGTTATTACTATATTATATAGTACATGGTAGCACAGAGATTCTGGTCACTTCTGGACACAAGCAAAAAAATAGGTGCTAGAAACAATATCATACAAAAGCTGACTGACACAGCCCGGGGATCACAACCAGATACAGTGAAGACATTGGCCTTTGTGCTTTGCTACTCTGTTGCTGAGTATGCATGCCCAATGTGGAACACATCTCACTATGTTAAAACAGTGGATGTGGATCTTAATGAGATATACCGCATTATCACAGGATGTCTATGCCCTACATCACTGGAGAAATTATACTGTTTAGCCAGTATTGTACCACCTGACATCCGCTTGGAAGTAGCAGCCAATAATGAAAGGACCAAGGCAGTGACATCTCTGGCCCATCCTCTGTTTGGATATCAGCCAGCATGCTAACACTTCAAATAAAGAAATAGTTTTCTAAGATCTACAGAGATACTTGCAGGAACACCTTAGTGGCAGGCTAAAACCCATGGCTGATACTGGACGAGAGATTCCCCCTGGGCACACAGAAGACTGGGCAACTTGGAAGGCACTAAACAGACTGTGCTCTGGCTCCACAAGATGCAGAGCCAACCTTGAAAAATGTGACCACAAAGTGGAGTCCACAACATGCAAGTGTGGAGAAGAGCAAACCACAGACCACCTATTACATGGAGGACCTTTGTATAGCAACACCAGAGGCACTCCAAGTGGCCAGCTAGTGGTCAAAGGACATTTAGTATAATGCCAAGTTTTTTTTAACTTTATGTTTTTTTAAATACAGTACAACGGTACCCTCAATTCACTTCTGACACAATAAATAAATAACTCAGAGACAAGCCTCTTTGGATTCATTAGGTTTCAGGGCAAGTGTGAGGTGTAGGTTGACCGCTGGACCAGGATTACCTTACGGTCATCGGAAGTCAGAAATGACTTGAAGGCACACAACAAATTCCTAGGGAGTGAGATGTGAAATTGCAAGTGGAGATAGATAGATGATAGATAGATAGATATGTGCATCACATGGTTTACATTGAAATGTAGATGCTGCTAGATAGATTTTCAGGTAATAATTTACAATTCTGTTTTATGTTGCTGCAGGAGGGTAATTGATTTTATTTTAAGAAAGGCAAGGCATTGGCTCTTTTAAAAAATAGAAATAAATGGTTGATGGACTCTTCTGGATAGCATGGTTTGTTGCTAGGCAATGAGCTGTAGACTGGATTTTCGTAACTTGTTCTCTGTTCAATACGCCCTTGGTTTGACTCTTTCCTGCTTTGTGTGAGCTACAAAGCAGAGGGCACTTTATCTGTTTGCCCCTTTTTACATAAGGTCAAACCAGGATCAATAATTAATTGGTGAAATGTGCATGAGTAGTTTAAAAAAACCCCAAATAAACCAAAGACTTGGGAATATTTATTGTATTGGGATGTGATATACCCATCAAGCCTTATTGTTTTGTAGTTAGATCTCAATTTAGGTCACAGCTGAAGAAATATTCCAGGGTTACCACATTATAAGGGATGGCCCTTAATTGAGGGTTGTAAAACTTGATCCTTGGAAGACTGGAAGGTGTCCTTTATTATATTGGAATTGGAAAATATGTCCTTTTATGTAGACTGATCAAAGCGTCCAAAAGAAAACCCCATGAAATTTTGAGGTTGCCATAAATCAACACATCGGTTGCCTTGGGCCTTGTGCAAGGAAAAATATGCTAACTAGTTTGATCTGATATCAGGCAGTTTCTTGTGCCCCTTGTACCTTACACACGAGAAACATGGAACTATAGCATCACTGAAGTAGGAAATTATTTTATTTATTTATCGTGTCAGAAGTGAATTGAGAATACAGTTATATTGTATTTTTAAAAACCACAAACAAAATTAAAAACTTGGCATTATGCTAAATATTCCTTGACCAGAAGCTGGCCACTTGGAGTGCCTCTGGTGTCGCTGTGAGAAGGTCCTCCATTGTGCATGTGGCAGGGTTCAGACTGCATTGTAGTAAGTGGTCTGTGGTTTGTTCTTCTCCACATTTGCACATCATGGACTCCACTTTGTAGCCCCATTTCTGAAGACTAGCTGTTCATCTCATGGTGCCAGAGCAGTCCGTTCAGTGCCTTCCATGTCACCGAGTCTTCTGTGTGCCCAGAAGGGAGTTTCTCATCTGGTATCAGCCACTGATTGAGATTCTGGGTTTTAGCCTGCCACTTTTGGACTCTTGCTTGCTTAGGTGTTCCTTCAAGTGTCTCTGTAGATCTTAGGAATCTGTTTCTTGATTTAAGATGTTGGCATGTTGGCTGATATCCAAACAGATGATGGGCTGGAGGTGTCAATGCCTTGATCTTTCCATTACTGGCTGCTACTTTCCAGCAGATATCAGGTGGTGTGATACTGGCTAAACAGTAAACAGGAAGTTGATTAAATAGTTGTTGGAATAGAACAACTATTATATTGGAGTTGGAAAGTATGTCCTTTCTTTCCAACTAGCCCTGAGTACCCAGGTGACTTGTAAAGTTCATATAATACAGTGGTTCTCAACCTGTGGGTCCCCAGATGTTTTGGCCTTCAACTCCCAGAAATCCTAACAGCTGGTAAACTGGCTGGGATTTCTGGGAGTTGTAGGCCAAAACACCTGGGGACCCATAGGTTGAAAACCACTGTTATAGTGGGTTGTCCGAACCATATTGCAGTAACATTCACTGCTATGCCTAAAGGTCTATCCGACAAGGTTTAATTCCATATGGCTTAAATGTTTGTAAATATTCTCCATTAAAACAAAATAGATGAGATTAGTGTGACCCCCAGGTTGATGAGAGATTTCAATAGGTCCAGTCTCCAAAAATTTAAAAAGCTTTCTGTTTGTCAATCAAGAAGTATTTATAAAAGAAGTAGAACCCAGGTCTAAAACATAATCATCAGTATCTCTAGAAACAGGAATGGCAGGTTCAAAGGGGGGCTCTGGAATGTCTCTTTTTACTCACAAGAGATTGGCATTTTCGCTCTTCTTTAAGCGTTGAAAGACTGCAGAGATGTCAGGGAGTTGGGAATGACGAGGTGCATTTTAGAAATCTTTCTTGTTTTTCTTTTTGAAAAAGAAGACACAAAGGAAACCTTGACACATCACAGAGCCCTCCCTGAAGAGGTCAGATAACATATTATTTCCTGGGAGAAGCCACCCTCCAGCAAAGCTTCTCTATGTCTCTGGATTGTTTACATTTTTCTTTTCAGTAGCAGGAACACTTCTATTTTCTTCTTCTTAAAAAAAAAAACCCAAAGTAATATGCTGTATGGTCCGTCACTGGAAGATCAGATTACCTTGGAAGAAGCAGTATTTTGCTTCAGCGTCGAGTGCTTGGCAAGAGGCCAGGTAGACATCAATAATCACCAGTAGGTTGCTAATCTCTTAATGCCGAGTGGGGAGTATTGTTGGATACTGCGGACCTCAGATTTCATCACTCATGGGCCTTGTCAGCACAACTTCCTAACCAGAGAACAATCACCCTCTCAAGATCCAGTGAATGTCAATAGGAAGGGATAAAAACACACTAGGTTTAGGCAATGGTTGGTGGTCTTGTTAGCTCTTCAGCTGCCCAGAGGGCACTTGTCTGGATTAAAGGGGGGGAAAAACCGGCTAACTACCAACTGTGCTGACATCTTACCTAGGAGCAGTCAAAAGCAAACGCAGATACCTAGAAAGAAGGCAGGGCTCAGAAGGATGAAAAAAGATTCACTACATTTTAGACAACGTTCAAAACTTCTAGACCAGTGGTTCCCAACTCATGGTCTGTGGACCACCAGTGGTCCAGAAGAACTAAAATATGGTCCGCAGCCTCACCATTACTACACTTCTGCAATGAGAGTGACTGGTCTTAC